AAAGGTGAAAGCAGCTTCTCCTAATCCAAGAGATCTCAATTTTGCTAAAAATTTATCAATAGCTTCGGCCTTTTGAGGATCCACTTTCTGCAGAACCAATGGTGATTAGTGCACCACAATGTGGCATTTAAGTTCCAAACCTATGCATGTGATCACCGAGATTCACCTTTCTTTCATCTTGAAGTGCCTGCAGCTCATCCACAGCTCGCATAATAATCCCTTCCACCTAACTCATGAGACAAGATACTTAAGAGAACTAGCAATAATAAAAAAAAGAGTTGGATATGAACATTTTCCAAGATATATTTGTGGAAAGAAATGGAGCATACTGTTGAAAGTGATCCACGTTGAGCTTCTGGAGGGATCTCAAAGTCCAGTTCTGGAATCTACACGTCAAATGTGAAGTTACATATAAATCACATTACATATATTTAAAAAGCATCACAAGAGCATAGTTTGACATACCTTAATAGTTGCTGAATCAGATTTCACAACCTGACGGTTCAGTATCTGTACCAATACCGTTCGTTAGTTATTGTCATATAAACATACAATTACAACGATTTATCACTAACATTAATAAACATGAACAGAAAGCAGCATGGATATGTATTTGAATTTTAAATTATTGCACAACTTATGACCAGCAGTGAGCAAACCACCTATGACAAGCAAAGGAAAAAAAAAGAGCACAGGAGCCAAATTTTTCATCAAAACTTGCGAAGACATACAAGATAGAAGAATAGATCTGCAAACTTTTACAGTTTGATTCCTCACGGGCAATGACTAATCATGGTTTTAGGGTTTGAATCAGTTTTAGGTTCCTGTCTAGAATTCTTCCAAATCTGTGAAGTAGGTTGCAAATCTACCAAGGATCTTTTATTGGAATAGGTTCTGGAGATGTTTGTGAACATCCTATCCAAATTTCATCAATTTGGTTAAGGTTTGCTCATCTAGTTGGATATTCCGCCTTCCTCTGAAAAAAGATATTAATTTATTTTTTAGTTGGCAGACTTACTCAGGAACTAGTCAAACCACAGGTAATCTGGTCAGACTGAAAGCTCCACAGGAAAAAAAAAAACTCAATTTTATTTTTGGGGTGAATTTCTTCATTAGAAATACTGATGCAAAAGGACACATTGCAGTGAGCTACATACGGACTCTGAAAGAAAACCTCCATAATCAACTTGCAAGTTGTGATCTTCAGAATCCTGAAGCTATATCATATGGAATTGCATGGGAGGCACCCATGCAACAGGCAGTCGGCGTGCAAGCATATTTGAACTAAACAAAAGAATTAAGTTTGAGCTATAGTTTAGTTTATAATTATTTACAGTAGAAACAGGACTATAAGGATTTCTTCCACACAGAAGCACAATACTCTATACTGTATAGCCATGTTGGTAGGATCACTTCTGAACTACACTCAATAGTCTAGCTGAAACTGAAACTGAAAATGAGCTGAAAAGCTTACTTATGTTAGCACAATAGCTATATTTATAGTACATGGATAGGTCGGTTGCTGAACCGACAATACTGCTGCTGCTATGTTCCTGCTAGAGGTAAAATCAAAATTGACTACTACCACTAATAGCAGCTGTCTGACAACCGAGTAACAGCTGCAGCCTATAGCTTACTGTCTAAGGAAACCAAATAACTAACTAGAACAAGGATTATACTAACAATCTCCCCTTAATCCTTGTTCTTCTATTCTGAACTAATCTTGACCACTCCAATCCTTGCAACAAGCTCATGGAATCGAACTCGCCCCAATGCCTTCGTTAGAATGTCAGCGAGCTGGTCCATGGTGGTGATGAAGCTGGCGCTGATGCTTCCTTCCTCCAAGCAGCTTCTGATGAAGTGATAGCGCAAATCAATATGCTTGCTGCGCTCATGGAAGACAGGGTTCTTTGCCAGCGCCAAGGCAGACTTGCTGTCCACCTTTAGCTCGATCGCTTTAGGTTGCTTCCCAAGAAGTTCGCCGAGCAATCGAGCCAACCAGATTCCTTGTGTGGCAGCATTGGTGGCTGCAACATATTCTGCTTCACAGGAAGATAAAGCCACCACTCTCTGCTTGATGGATTGCCAACTCACCAAGCTTGAACCAAGGAAAAACAACATGCCACTTGTGCTTCTCCTTGTATCAATGTCGCCGGCGAGGTCGCTGTCGCTGTAACCAATCAGCCGCTGCTCCTCTTTCTCCCTTTTGTAATGAAGTCCGTACTCCATCGTGCCAGCGACATAGCGTAGAATGCGCTTCACGGCCACCATGTGCTCCTCAGTTGGCCGCTCCATGAAGCGACTCACGAACCCAACAGCAAATGCTAGGTCTGGCCGTGTGTGCACAAGATAGCGAAGGCTACCAACCAGCCGTCGATATTTTGTTGCATCAACGGGAGGTGCCGTGCTATCACGGCTCAGCTTGAGCCTTTCTTCCATTGGAGTGGCGCAAGGGTTGCAGTCCTTGAGGCCAGCCGACTCCACAATGCGCTGAGCATAGCGCCCCTGGTTCAGGGAGATTCCATCATCTCCTTGCTTCACCTCAATTCCAAGGTAGAAAGAGAGCAAGCCAAGATCACTCATCTGAAACTTTGCCTTCATTTCTTCCTTGAATTGTTCAATTGCTCTTGTCGATGGCCCGGTGATCACAAGGTCATCTACATAGACCCCGACGAGTAGAGCAGAGCCACCATTGTTTCGTCGGTACATGGCGTGCTCATGCTTGCTTTGGTCGAAACCGAGCTCCTTCAGAGTACAATCAAGCTTCGCATTCCAGGCTCTTGGCGCCTGCCGCAGGCCATAAAGAGCCTTGCGCAGGCGGAGGACCTTGTCTTCTTCTCCGGCGACGACAAAACCAGGGGGCTGCTTCACATACACCTCCTCTGCCAAATCTCCATTGAGAAAGGCAGACTTCACGTCCATGTGATGGACGTGCCACCCTTTTTGGGCGGCGACCGCAAGCAGGAGACGAATTGACTCCATGCGCGCGACGGGCGCAAACACCTCGTCAAAATCAATCCCAGGTTGCTGGACAAATCCCCTGGCGACGAGACGAGCTTTGTGCTTGACCACCTTTCCGGCCTCGTTCTTCTTCAATTTATAGACCCATTTGAGTCCAATTGGGCGATGGCCATGTGGGAGATCAACAAGCTCCCAAATCCCATTGCGATTCACCGCGTCCATCTCTTCACGCATGGCTGCTCGCCATGCATCATCACCCTCCGCCTCTGCAAACGAGCATGGCTCACCAGGTCCAGCGAGGAGCAAAGACGCCTCCTCGAGTTCCCGTTGTGCAATCCCTGGTGCCGGGGCATTCTCCCCGATCAAGTTGTCGACTGTGCGGTAGCGGACAGGGGTGTTGGAGTGCGCCGCGTCGATCCTCTCCTCGTCGTGTGAGGGAGGTGACACGAACTCTGTTGGGGCAACGCTAGGACTTGGTGCTGGTGTGGCAGGGGTTGCTGGTGAAGTCTCTTGTAGTGGCGTTGGGGATGCTGATGGGGTCACCACGCCTCCCCCCACACTAGGGATAGGATGCCCAGTGGTCTTCTCAACATGGTACTCGATGGCGAAATCGCTGCTCGGTCGAGCATCTGTGCTGCTTGCTGCCGTCCAGTCCCACCCGCGGCTCTCGTCAAAGATGACATCACGGGCGAGACGTACACGCCGTGTCCTTGGATCCAGGACACGATATGCCTTCACCCCTTCTTCATAGCCAATGAAGACGCCGGGTGTGCTGCGGTCGTCGAGCTTGCGCACATCGTTTAGCTCCTTCACGTACGCCAGGCACCCGAAGGTACGTAGGAAGCTGACCATCGGCTTCTTGCCGTGCCAAGCTTCATACGGCGTCTTGCCAGTGAGGCTTTTGGTTGGTGCATGATTGAGGAGGAAGACAGCCGTGCTGACAGCCTCCCCCCAAAACTCCGCAGGCATTCCCTTCTGTTTGAGAAGGGCGCGCGCCATGGACACCACTGTCTGATTCCGCCGCTCGACCACGCCATTTTGTTGTGGGGCGTAGGGCGCGAAGAAATGACGTTGGATACCCTCATCAGTGCAGTAGGTGGCGAACTCAAGCGACGTGAACTCGCCGCCGTTGTCCGTGCGAAATACACACAGCTTGCGCCCACAGTGAGTCTTGGCTGCCATCTGAATTCTCTTGATGGCGTCAGGTGCATTGCTCTTGGCTGCTAGGAGCGCCACCCACATGTATCGTGTGGCATCGTCGACCAGCAGCAAGAAGTAACGCCGGCCACCTGGCGTTGCCGGCGTGATAGGGCCACAGATGTCGCCATGGACGAGATCTAGCGGCTCCTGAGCGCGGTACTTGGCTGCCTTTGGAAAGGCAGCGCGCCGATGCTTGGTGATGACACACGTGTCGCAAAGCTGCTCGACATGCTCCAGTCGAGGCAGGCCACGCACGAGCTCTTGTCGGCCCATCTTCTCTAGCGAGCCGAAGTGGATGTGCCCGAAGCGCTCGTGCCAGCGCCAGGCAACATCATCGTGTCGCGTAGCCAAGCAAATCGGCCTAGCAACCTCGAGACGGAGGACGTATAGACGGCTTCGTCCCCGCTTGATCTTGGCAAGAAGACGGCGGCGGCGGTCCCAGATACGCATGATGCCGTCCTCGACCAGCACACGCGTCCCGCTTTCATCAAGCTGACCGATGCTGATGATTGAGCTCTTGAGGCGCGGAATGTAGTAGACGCCACTGAGAACCTTGTGCTCGCCATTCTTGCCGGTGAAGATGACGTTACCGGCACCCTTGATGTCTACGATGGAGCTGTCTCCAAATTTGACGGTGCCGGTGACGCTTCGATCGAGCTCAGCAAAGACGTCACCACGGCCTGTCATGTGGTTGGTGGCTCCTGTGTCAAGGTACCACGCCTCCTTGTCCTCAGCGTCCGTGGCTCCTAGGCTCACCTGCACTCGCGGTTCAACGAGGGAGACAGGAGATGGCGCGATGATGGGGCCATCATTGAGCTCGCAAGCGTGGGCCATCAACAAAGTGGCATCGTCATCTTCAAGCTCGCATGCCCGCGAAAGCAGCAGGACGTCGTCATCGTCATCACCTTGGGCTAGGTGAGCGGCTTCTTTCTTGGGCTGGCGACAGTCCTTGGCCCAATGGCCAAGACGGCCACAATTGTGGCATCTGTTTGGTGCCGTGTCCCGATTGGTGTTCCCTTTCTCGCCTCCTACGCCGCCACCAAAACCTCTTTTCTTGCGATGGGAGCGAGGTCGCTGACGAGCTCCACCTTGCGACTGCTTGGAGGATCGCTCCCCTTTTTGTCGCTCCTTCTGCCGTGCGAGCCACTGCTCCTCCGTGAGGAGAAGCTGGCCTCCGGCTGGAGTAGTCGTCGACGTTGGAGCTGGTCACCGTTCCTCCGCCACCTTGAGACGCCCAGTGACATCCTCGATGGTGAGTGTCGAGAGATCCAACAGGGTCTCAATCGACACAGCGATTTGGGAAAATCGCTCTGGGACGACGCGCAAGAACTTCTCGATGACGTTCTGCTCCTCGATTCGTTCTCCTAATGTCCCAAGCTGAGACACTAGGCTTGTGAGCCGTAGGGCGAAGTCGTCGATCGATTCACCATCATGGAACGAGATGGATTCATACTCCCGGTGCAGCTGTTGCGCCTTCGCCTTCCTCACGCGGTCCACGCCGACGCGCATCACTTTGATGGCATCCCAGGCGTCCTTCGCGGAGTCCTTGGTGGCGAGCAGCGAGATCATCTCGCTGGGGACAGCGCGTAGGATGGCCTCCATTGCCATCCTGTCTTCTTGCTCATCGCATTCACCATGCTCCACCGCGTCCCAAAGGCCACGGGCTTGCAGCATCACCTTCATCAGCAGCGACCACTCGGTGTAGTTGGTTCGCGTGAGGGTGGGGAAAGCAGCAGCGCCGCCAACCTCCCTGACAGTCCGCTGCACAACAACCTCTCGAACAGCAGCGCCTCGACCTCGTCCTCGCCGTGGTGTTGGCGATAACGAGTGACGGCGGCCGCGGTGTTGTGGCGACCTGGAAGCATTGGCTCCAGCAGCTGGTACTCCCTCCATCTCTCTCTCACACTTCTTTAACCTGAGCTCTGATACCAATTGTTGGTAGGATCACTTCTGAACTACACTCAATAGTCTAGCTGAAACTGAAACTGAAAATGAGCTGAAAAGCTTACTTATGTTAGCACAATAGCTATATTTATAGTACATGGATAGGTCGGTTGCTGAACCGACAATACTGCTGCTGCTATGTTCCTGCTAGAGGTAAAATCAAAATTGACTACTACCACTAATAGCAGCTGTCTGACAACCGAGTAACAGCTGCAGCCTATAGCTTACTGTCTAAGGAAACCAAATAACTAACTAGAACAAGGATTATACTAACAAGCCATACTTAATCTCTCCTGGAGACACATTTGGCTATAAGGTCAGCGTCTTACTGTCTTAGCAATCAAATTGCTTAGCCAGCTCATACTTCAATGAGTTATATGTATATCTGATTAGGCGAAAGAAATGCAGAAATTAATGAAAGACAGGATTTGCTCGAGGCCTTGACTCAGTTAATTCCTCAATCCTCATTACAAAAAATATCATTGATTTCATGAGTAAACATTACAGCACATAATGCTGATATCTATCAAGAAAAATGAAGTTCTTGTGGGCCATTAGAGGGAACTGGGACATTTGGGTCCGGCTAGCTGTGATATGTGACTGTTAGCAAGGTGGGATGGGTGAGTGAACAAAGAAACCAAAAAAAAAAAAAAAAACTCACTGAAACCAGTGAGGATTCAGGAAATAATGCTACTAATCAGATCCCGTGGCGTGGCAACCGCCATCATAGACTAAGACCCTGTTTAGATGGGACTAAAACTTTTTAGTCTCTATCACATCGGATATTTGGACACTAATTATAAATATTAAACGTAGACTATTAATAAAACCCATTATATAACCCTGGACTAATTCGCGAGACGAATCTATTAAGCCTAATTAATTCATGATTAGCCTATGTGATGCTACAGTAAACATACGCTATGTATGGATTAATTAGGCTTAAAAAATTTATCACACGAATTAGCTCTCATTTATGTAATTAGTTTTATAAGTAGTCTATGTTTAATACTCCAAATTCATCCGACATTCATCCGACATGACAGGGACTAAAGTTTAGTCCCTGGATCCAAACACCACCTAATAAATTGGTGACAACATAAAAACAGCCATGCCACAGAACCATACCTCGTTCTGCCCGCGCGGGACCTCCAAACGGTAACAACATCCCTTCGGCTGGAGCTGTCCAGCAAACTGAACCTCATTGTTCCTAGCACAGAAAATTACACCGAATCAAGTATACTCCCCTAAAAACACCCAGCGCTCTACTAGCCACGCGCTTGCACCAGTCGACGCACAAATGCACACATTCCATTACCTCTCACCGCAATGCGGGCACTCGAAAGCCATCAGAACCACCTGCAGATTTACAAACGTGAATTCGACACCGCTCTCGAATGAGAACAAGCAGCAGTCAGTTCAGCCACCAATGAGAATGGCACGAGAGCTAATCTAATCTCACCTCCCGGAAGTGCGGAATCATGGTCATCAGAAGCCTCGTGGTGCCCTGGCCACAGAAAAATCGCACGCAGGTCTCAGCACCCTCGCCACAAGCAAAAACCGAGCGAAGAAGCTACACCAAACTTAGAGGCCCTTACGTTGTCGCCGCAGCGCATGCAAAGGGACTCGATCTCGTGGAGCGGCGCGGCGTGGGCCTCCTCGTCGCCGCCGCCGCCGCCCGCCGACTCCGCCGCCGAGCGGAGGTCCACCACCACCCGCCCTTCCTCCCCGGAGCTCGCCATGGTCTCCGCCGCCGCTAAGCGAAGGAGCGGAGGCTCCCTCTCGCGATCTCTCTGGCTTAGGTCTGCGTGGTTCGGCTCTCGTGGCGGCAGTGGAGGCGTGGAAGCTGGTGGCGCTGGTGGCTTCGCGGCGGGAGGGGAAGGGAGAAGGGAAAGGAAGGGAAGACGCGAGAAAGGGGCGGAGACCTAGGAGTCTCTGGAGTCCGGAAATGGGCTGGGCTTATGAAACCGGTTAGTTCACCTGATGGGCCAGATGCCCGATGGGCCTTGTTGGGCTGTAGTGATGGACTCCTGGGCTGCTGCGCAGTATTGAATTTGCCGTTACAAAGTCGAAATAAGTTCAATTTGACTCCCTTACATTAAAAGTGACCCGAATCTAATCCATGCCCCTAAACCGCAAAACCAGATATCTCGACCCCCAAACTATTGAAACCGATGCAATTTGACTCTCTAGGCGGTTTTGAAGGTCGTTTTTGCTAACGTGGCGCCTACGTGGTGATATTGATCGGGTCTTCTTTACACGTGGTGTCGACGTGGCGCTGCCCTTCCCTTCCTCTTCGGCTGTCTGCCGCTTGCGCGGCTGCGGTGGGCAAGCGCAAGCTGGAGCGGCGGCTACGGGCGGTCGAGGGCCGGAAAGCGGCAGCAGCGGCGTCGGGCGGGATGTCAAGATCTGGAGTAGTGGAGAGTGGAGATGAGCGGTGCCCCGAGCTCCTCCCGTCGACGAAATAGAGCAACGTTGTGGCCACCGTCGAGCTCGGCGAGAAGGGCCCCCCTCTCTCCTCCCCATCTTCTTCTTGATGGCGCAACAGGACGGTTGCTGGGAAGTAGCAAGCGACGGCGGCGAAGGAGCTTGGCGACATGGCAGGTACGCCCAGTGGCATGGCGATGGCGGCGGGCAAGCGAAGACGGCTGTGAGCGGCGAAGATGCGGGCGGGGGGGGTGCGAGGACGGCGGCATCCGACGGTGGCCGCCATGGATAGGGTGAGGTGGGGATCTCCCCGACAATGTCCGCCGCCACCATGGCGTGTAGGTCGGTTGTGTGCTCCGCCTCCGCCCTCACGCCGCTGCACCACCGCCTCCTCCCCCTCGTCTGCGCGGCTCACTGAGATCCTTGCCGCCGCGACCACATCGCCCTGCTCCTCGCGGTGAGCGGTGATCCACGCCGCCACCTCCTCTCCCACTTGCCGCCCAACTCCCTTGCCGCCGTCAGCCTGCTCCCGCTCGCCACTGTCCTTCTCCGATGATGAGGAGAAAGGCTAGGGGAGAGAATGAGAGAAGGGAGAGAGAGGGAGGAGGGAGAGAGAGGAAGGAGTGAGGATGACATGTGGGCCCCCACATATCAGTGGGGCCCGCGTGTCATCTTTTGTGTAAATGATAAATTAATTATTTTTTAATTCTAATGCCACGTCAATGCCACATATAAAGAAGACCCGGTCAATACCGCCACGTTAGCAAAACTGTCCTCCAAAATTGCCAAGGGAATCAAACTGCACCGGTTTCAATAGTTCGAGGGTCGAGATATTCGGTTTTACGGTTTAGGGTCATGGATTAGATTCGGGTTACTTTTAAGGGAGTCAAAGTGAACTTATTCCCAAAGTTGAGCAAAAGGTAACGATACACCATATGATGTTATTTCTATTATATTGTGCATTTTGTTAAAATTGAGCGGATGGCCTCATCTTTTTATGCTTATACTTATCAGCTAAAATTTAAATTTTAATCTTAATTTTAGAGTTTATTTTGAGGTTTTTTTCATCGAAGTTTATTTTTCAGCCTTTACTTTTAGATCGTTAAGAACACATATATAAAAGTTTGGGACTGCCTATACATTATATGACAGAATTTTTAGCCTCCTATCATGCAGATTTCTTACCCTTTAGATCAACATCTAACGGATGACATCAATATACACAAACAAAATAAAGCTCACGTGGGCTCAAATGGGCTTCAAGTAGATTTCAGACTTACATCGTAAATACATTTAAATTACATACTTCATCCGTTTCATAATGTAAGTCATTTTAGCATTTCCTACATTCATATTAATGTCAATGAATCTAGATAGATATATATGTCTAGATTCATTAACATCAATATGGATATGGGAAATGCTAGAATGACTTATATTGTGAAACGGAGGAGGTATGTAATTTTCAAACTTACATCGTAATTACACTAAAATTGCATATGTAATTAATATGTAATTATAGTGTAAGTAACCAATGAAAGGGATGAGTTAAAAATCACGGATTCGAGTCCTGGTATGTGTAAGAGTTTTTGTTTCTCATGTCATGAACGAATCTCAGCGTAGCATAAATCTCAAATACATTCGACGGTAAAAAAAAAGGTGCAAAATTAAACCATACAAAATCTGCCAGCAGATGGATAGCTATTCCGTAAAAGTTTTATTAACAAAATATTTTTCGTTTGTAAATAAGCCGTTTGGCTTATTCCCTAAATAAGCCAACCGATGAGAACCTCAAATCCTCAATTTGTAGTTGGTATTTCTTTACTTTCTACAAATAATAAAATATAAAACATGATGCTTTATCGTTACTTCACTTCTGGAATCTTTAGGAACTTTTCATAATAATGTCCCATGGTAGCAGGAAGAATACAAAAGCCCCAGCTAGCTCCTGCATGTGCTATCACAAACTCTTTACTTGAACAAATCCAGCCAGGTTGTTGCTATAAGGTTTAAAATGGGGATTCTGTCTCATTTTTAACTGCCTACCCATGCCATGCCAGGGTGACGGTACAACGGCAGTACTACAAAAAATCACAGGGGAAAAGCCGAAAAAGCCACACCCACGTTACCCGGATCTGCTTCCGTATCCGGTACGTACAGCCCTTTCTAGAAAAAGCCAACCCTTCCTTCACAGGCCCAACTGACATCCGGGACCCACAACCCCACACCACAGCAGATGGCCCACCTGCGAGTCACTCAACAGTAGTAGGGCCCTCGTGCCGTATTACCACCGGAGTCCCCACGTCGCGCGCTCTGATTGGCCGCGGCGCAGTCCACGCCTCGCTAGGCCGCCACGTATCAACTCACCCCCGGGGATCCTCTGCGCCGAACCCGTCAACGCGCACGCGCCGCAGAGGATCCGACGGGGGAGGGAGGTGACACCTGTCCCCGCCGCGCTCTCCGACTCTCTCTCTCTCTCTCTCGCTCTCGCTCGCGAGTCGCGTCACGCATTCCCCGCCGCGATCCATCACCACCACCACCACCACCACCACCAGCCGCAGCCGCAGCCGCAGCAGCAGCAGCAGCAGCAGCCACCGGACGGCGCGCGCGGCGGGCGGCGGGCGGCGGCGGGAGGATTCACTTCGCTTGCCTTGCCCGCTTTGACGTCTTCGCCGCCGCAGGCAACCTATTCCACCTTCTAGGGCGTTGCGGTTGCAGGGAGGAGGAGGAGGGGGAGGAGGGGGAGGGGGAGGGATGGATCTGAAGGATGGCGGGGGGTCGGAGAGGAGGGGGGCGGCGGCGGGTGCGGGTGCGGGTGCGGCGCCGCTGGCGAGGCAGGGGTCGATCTACTCACTGACGTTCGACGAGTTCCAGAGCACGCTGGGAGGGATGGGGGGAGGGCTCGGGAAGGATTTCGGGTCGATGAACATGGACGAGCTGCTGCGGAGCATCTGGACGGCGGAGGAGAGCCAAGCGATGGCGTCGGCGTCGGCGGCGGCGGCGGCGGCGGAGGGGGGCCTGCAGAGGCAGGGGTCGCTCACCCTGCCGCGCACTCTCAGCGTCAAGACGGTGGACGAGGTGTGGCGGGACTTAGAGCGAGAGGCGTCGCCGGGGGCGGCTGCTGCTGACGGCGGCGGCGGCGGCGGGGAGCAGCAGCAGCCCAGGCGGCAGCCGACGCTCGGGGAGATGACGCTGGAGGAGTTCCTGGTCAGGGCCGGGGTCGTCAGAGAGAATACCGCTGCGGCGGCTGCTATGGTAGCTGCGGCCGCCGCTCCGCCGGTGGCTCCGCGGTCGATTCCGGCTGTCAACAACAGCTCCATCTTCTTCGGGAACTACGGAGGCGTCAATGATGCTGCTGCTGCCGCTGCTGGTGCGATGGGTTTCTCACCGGTGGGGATTGGGGATCCGACCATGGGGAATAGGCTGATGTCCGGAGTGGCAGGGATTGGGGGTGGTGCGATCACTGTTGCTCCGGTGGATACATCAGTTGGACAAATGGATTCAGCGGGCAAGGGGGATGGGGACCTGTCATCACCGATGGCGCCGGTGCCGTACCCCTTTGAGGGGGTGATAAGGGGGAGGAGGAGCGGTGGTAACGTGGAGAAGGTGGTGGAGCGGCGGCAGAGGAGGATGATCAAGAACAGGGAGTCAGCAGCTAGATCTCGTGCCCGGAAGCAGGTCATACCTCTGCCCTAAATTCTTGCATGTGTTGCATATGCAGCTGTTTGCTATTGCAAATGGTTGTGATAGAAGGGGAAAATAGTATCACAAATCTGGTAAAACCGGCTTGTCGAGATTGGGTCCTTGCTGTGTTGAACACAACGGATAATCCCAAAATATTTATCGGTAAAGGGAATCTTGATTCGCATGTTTATATGTTGCTTTGACACTGAAATTTGCTCCATTGTGATTACTAGGCTTACACAATGGAGTTGGAAGCTGAAGTTCAGAAACTCAAGGAACAGAACATGGAATTGCAGAAGAAACAGGTACTAATTCAATGTATCTTTCATCAAAAGACTTCCTAACAATGATGCATCACATTTTATTTGTTCCATCTGTACATCATCTTCACTATGCTACAGTATTCCACCAGTTTTTTAACAAGTAAATTTTCACCAGTGTCAGTGTAGCAAATGTTTGCTAAAATATTCAGTGTGCGCTTTCTAAAAGTAGGCCTGTAGTAAATTTCAAAATTGAGTGAGACACTAAGGCATAACTGAACCATTTGTGAAAGAGGTGGGGCCATAGCTTGAAATATGTATGATGAAACTTGAATCTCTGTTACCTTTCAAACCTAGCAGCCATAATTTTGACTTGAATTCCATTTGTGACAGCTTTGTAACTTTTGCATTAGCATGCTGTGATGCAACTTCAGACGGGATACTTCAAAATTGTCTTATTGCTTGAACTAGTAATATTTTGGTGGACTTGCTTCAGTACAGGTCTTTCTTTTAAGGAACTAGTAATATCTCATAGAAAAGTTTACAAATCCAGTAACTTATTAAATGATTCAAATAAGATATTTGCTCCCACATGTTTTTCAGAACGATAGCTGTATGTAACATCTAATCTCTTTTGTTCATGCTGATACAGATTTGCCGTTGTCTAATATTAACTACTTCGCCTTTAAGATTCATATTTTTTTTTCTGAAAAAATAGCACTGAAACAAGGTGTCACATGCAACATAGGTGTGTATGTTTGTGTGCTCCAAAGGCAAATACTAACACAGTTATCCCTTTTGTACTATCTACTCTAAAACTAAATTGTTAATTTGCCATTAAGTTGTAGCTGTATACTCAATTTTGTCCACTTGAATTGAACCAAAGGGAAACAAATCAAACCCATTTTGGAAGACGTGTAAATTTGTACTAAATTTGTATTTCTGCCCTAGATTTTGATCAGGTATTCACCTTACAAATATCAGGGCAGGGGCCTAAATGCCATGACCATACAACCTAGTTTCATCTACCTTATTATTGTTTAATATCATAACTAGTTCGTGGAGCAGTCTAATGACTGATCATTGTCTCTTTGTCATGTTTTTTTTTTCAAGAAGGAAACATTAAGGCCTTCTTTGGATGCAAGTGGATTATGTCCATTCCCTTCAGAATGAGAGGGAAGCTGTACTAAATTCCCTTCTCATCTGAAGTCCTTGTGCAATAAAGTCCTAAGTGGTTCTGTTCGTTTTCGGTGTTATTGATTATTCTATCTTATCAAGACTGAACTTATGACTATTTCAAAACCAATATTAATCTTTTATACCATCTTGTAAAATTTAAAGACCGGTTCATACCACCATATACATTTTTTTTTTGGGATAACCTTCACCGGTATTCATAATTTGGAGGGAATTGCATCCTTGAAGAGCATAACAATACCTTAAGCATCTTTGGGTGGATGCCAATGGTAAACGATTGTTTGTAGCTTTCTTACATTGTTTCTTTCTTAATTATGCAGGAGGAAATTATGGAAATGCAGAAAAATTTCTTCCCAGAAATGCAGAAAAATCAGGTAAATGTTTTGGTCAAACTTATGTTTGTGTTTTGTAATATTCTAATGAGTAAACTGTGTCTACAATACATAAATTTGGTAGGTGTGTGCGATCTAGTGCAAGAACTTAAAAAATGAGCATATAAGTGCAATAACTTGGCTAGTGCATGCATTTTGGTTAAAAGATCGATATTCTACATGATATATACTCCCTCTATTTCAGGTTATAAGACGTTTTGACTTTGGTCAAAGTCAAACTGCTTTAAGTTTGGCCAAGTTTGTAGAAAAAAGTAGTACACTAGATCGCACCCACCTATCAAGTTCTTGTACCGGGGGTGCAATTTACTCTATTCTATTTCATCTGTCTGATACATAAAAACTCCATGTTAGCTATCTCTAGCAGTGGAACACAGTTCTGTTGCTGTTAGTTGTTACTACATTTTTGTTAGAGAAGTTGACATGGTACTCTCTACATAAGTACATGTTATATTGCATTTGAACGACTTGACTTCTCCATTGAACGACTTACATGTTTTTATTCTCTTTTTTGTGATAGCTGGAAAACTTGGAACTGCATTGTTGGTGCTTGCCTATATTCCATTAGCTCTGCTAAAATATTTTCCCTTACATTTTCAAGTTGTTTTTATTTTCCATATTGAACATTTAATGATACATTTACAACATATAATAAATATTCATCAAATTAAAAAAAATGGACTTGAATAGCCTCATCATGCTGCAGCTGAACTTTTGAGCTTCAGTCACTGGCATTATAGTTGTGGCATACACTTTAAAGGAAAATAGATCACCTTAAACCATTTCACTAGAGCATTTAAAATCTCTGGGCTATTTCGCTTAGTGCAACTGCAAAGATCACAAAGTTGGAAAAAAGAAAATACCATCTCATGTGTTGTTTACATTTGGGCTTTGGTCCCACATGTAATGGCAATATCTAAGTAGCACATCGATGGGATTGTGCTTAGCATTTTCTCAACTTCTTTTTGTCTCACTTAGCCCCCCAAACTACTAAACCAAGTCACCTTTCTCTTTTATAACATTGCACTTTTAGTTTCTCCTTACTCAAGCCATGTTTTAAGTTTAAGTTGTGCACAATGATAGATGGAATCATAACCTATTTCACTGAATTTTTTGCTACTATTTTCATGCATTTCCATATCTTGAAGTTGAACATCCATTATGTGTTGCTAACATATACAAACAATCTTTCAAAATTACTCCCGTAAAAAAATATTGTAATGTATGTCGTATCATTCCACAAAGTGAAATGCATGGTTCAAGTAGGTCCTAGGCGCTATAGTTCAGCATGGCTGGCGCCTATGCTCTGCCTTGGTGGGGGCGTGGGGCCTAGCGGGCGCCTAGGTGAGACCAGCTAGTCAAATCCAAGAAATTAGCAAGCATATTACATAAAAACTTAGACAATATAACACTACAGTAGTAAGACAAGAGCACCCAAGGTAGATTAGCTGCCTAATGCACCATCCATGCCTAACTATGACGGCAACACTGGTGAAATGCCCTTAGGGAAGTAAAGTGGACTTTCTAATTTAAATCTTCTTCTGCAATTACATAAAATCAATACTTTATCAGGAAAATGGTGAAAAGACAGTTTTTGATGGATGGCCAGTAGGCAGTAGAACTAACTCGATTGCTTTGTTTAATTAACACTCCCAATTTTGATCTGTTTTGTCAATGATATTCACGAATGTAAGAAATTAGAACAGCAGCTTCAAATCAGAAAGGTGTAGACTGCACAAGACAGTACTTTCACCATTATAGCCTTTTTTTATAGCCTCTTAAAACAATCTATGAAGTTCAGTTTATTTGATGCTGTTCATCTAGATGGCTAAAATGACTGCAGTGGAATAGTAACAACAGAGAAGGAAAATTATGCTTAAAATAGATTTGTAAGCTTCTCCTACAGAAATTATTCTCTGTTGGTAGGGATGGGGTGCACTATAGTGCAACTAAATGTACTAAATACACAATATCAACTGAAAAGGTACATTTCGGTTGATTAGTCCATGGATACCCATAATGGCCCATGCCCATCCCTATTTGTTGTGTTGCGTTCACACCCTGGAGCTCGTGACACCAAACATCAGGAAACTGCCAAATGTGTGGACACAAAGTAGAGTATGGGTGTGTATAGTTCACGCTAAAATTGGAAGTTTGGTTGAAATTGGAACGATGTGACGGAAAAGTTGGAAGTTTGTGTGTAGGAAAGTTTTGATGTGATGGAAAAGTTTAAAGTTTGAAGAAAAAGTTTGGAACTAAACTCGGCCTATATACATATTAGTGACTTACTGAGAACCGACCGTGGAGATCTATTTCTGCTTGTTTATCAGAAAAGTATGGAGCAGTAAAGAGTGATCTTTGTAGTATTATGAACTTATTATGGCTTTTTGGTGCCTGTATACTTGTTTTCTGTTTTAAATAATTATAAGGTTGTGCAACCAAAGAAGACATTTCTATTTCACTGTATTATAGTTTAGATTCAGTCACTTGTCAATGGCAAAATGTAGAATTGCTCATTAGTTTATTGTATTATAGTCATGGAAAAAAACCTGCCAGCCGGTTATCAGTGGTTTGTCATAGTAAAATTGAAAACCAATCGTAGCTAGAACTAGCTTGTCCAGGTATTAAAGGCCCACCACTTTGGAAGGCTTGGTTGTGTACGTGCGTCCGAAAAACAGCACACCTTTATTTTTACTTTTGCTTTTTACATAAATTTATTGTAGCCTTATTCAAAAATTGAGATGGAAATTTCTTGACTTTCTTTAAACCAAGAGATATTTCTTTGATAATATTGACTGGTGGCCCAATTGTTGGCAAACTGGGCCTTGACTTGCTGCAAAATTCTGCTCTGGTTTGTGGGCTTTATGGCATTTGTTGCTTTTGTTCCTTTTTTCGTTACGTGGAGCTTTTCTTGCTAGGCCTTATGTAGTCACTGCAACAGTATGTTTTTGTTTGGTACTCTCTCCGTTTCACAATGTAAGTTATTCTACAATTTCCCACATTCATATTGATGTTAATGAATCTAGACATATATATCTATCTAGATTCATTAACATCAATATGAATGTGGAAAATACTAGAATGACTTACATTGTGAAACGGAGGAAGTACTAAATTTCTGTTATAATCCATTCATTAACTGTTCAGTTTTGTTTACATCCACACTCTTCCTTTTCAGGTCTTACTATTGTATCTACATGCAATTCAATTTTATCTTGTTTAGGTAATGATTACTCTGATTCATGGCAAGCAGGTATTAGAGGCGGTCAACAATCCTTACGGACAAAAGAAGCGTTGCCTAAGAAGAACATTGACAGGTCCCTGGTAAAATTTGAGTTATTGATAACCGGAGCTTGACAAGACACACCATATTTTAACCTTAAGGTTCTTGTACATATTGTCAGGATTTCAAAACTCATCTCTCTGTTGTAAATTGATGATCAACAGAGTCGAGTGTACTAGTGCTTAACTTGCCCTGTCACCTTCAACTTACAGTTCTGCAAGTCTTCTATCGTGCTCTTATGTCCCCCTCTGTGCCCCGCTTTCTCTTTTCCTACCCTGAGATAAGTGTGTTGTTCAATGTTTTTGGTTTCTTGGCCCCAGATTGCATTGTCTCAGAGAGCTTTTGTAGTTTGCCGACACGGCAAACAGCTGTCTGTTCTGGGGGTATCATGTCACAGGAAGGATGTATCATGAAGGTGAACTAGAGCTACCTGTTGATAATGAAGGTGAAGTTTTTGGTTTGACTCAGAAGGATGTATCATGTCAGAGGAGTTTATGCCCAAAATGATCAACATGGGATCACACCTGACAAGGAAAAACAAACCAGACCAATCAGATACTACAGTTGAGTTCCATCCACGCCCCGATGTTCTTCTACAAGGAGCTGGAGAAGGTTTGGTGTTTTTGCTTGGAGGCCAGGTCTGCGTATGCTTGGCTTTGACGCCATATCTTTGATCTTTGATGTTTCTGTCTCTGCATCAGGAATGTTGGAGAAATCCATATCTGATTGGATGTAAATTTTCCAGCTGTGCACACAATATATCACTTACCAGGGCATCTAACCTCATTAAACGAGATCATTACGGCATAGGGAAAGCCCAAATCTCTGGCCGTCACAATCAGAAAGCGATAAGAACAAAATACATGGACCGATCAGGTTAACTGCATTGGTCTACAGGACAGCACCGAATCAAGACCAGAAAATGACACTGTTCTAGTGCAGATCCAAGGTATGCTTACCTCACCTACAGTCACAGACAAGCTAAAAACAGGTTGTAAGCTCCGACCAGCAAAAAAAAAAGACGCAGGCGTTACCGTCTAACTCGCAAGAAAATGACAAGCTAATTCGCTTTCGCTGAACGTCGTCGCCGCTTGCCGCCGGTGCTACATGTAATTAAAACGCGAAAAAGGGAGACAAGAACATCCTACCACACCAGAGAACGCCGGCCCGTTTTCGGTGCAGCTATCTATCTATCTCTGCAGATTCTAGCGTCCTTAATCATGCTGTTGCTGGATGCAAACTCATCCAGAGAGTGAGATTGCATCTTGCAAACGGCCCACTAGATTGTGAATCGTATCTTCTCCATAGTGGCTGATGCCAAACCTGTGTTCATCTGAAATGTAACGGCAGGCTGCGATTCCGCACGTATGGCTGAAATTTTACATGACGAGAGACGTACTGTTTCATGCTAAAATTTTCCACAGTATGATCCAGTTTGAGTGCAGATGGTTGCTTGATTGGAGCTGACCAAGATCACTCGCATGTTGCAGTACCCTGTCACGTCGACCGAGCTGTTCCCTGATGTACTACTTCTTGGCCCAAACTGCACTTCGATCGCTGTCACGCACTGCTGCCCTAAAATGATTTCTGGATATGGGATTTAGATATGGCACCTAGCTAGGTGAGCTGCTTAGGTAAGCATGATCTGCAGCAGGTAGCAGAGCTAGCTGGTGGCAAAATACTCCTCTTGAGCCATCGCATTTGTGCCAGGACCAGCCACAGTTAGTTCAGGCAGTGTCACTGTCCAAGCGGGGCCAAATTGCCGGGCCAAGGAGGAGCCCATCCGGGACACGAACCACTGGCGCCAACACCCCGGTGTTCCCTACGCACCGGGACATGGCGAGCCCACGCCATCTCTGCTCGGGCTGCGAGACACCCAGCACTGTCCATTTCATGGACAATTTCAGAAGCAATTCTTCCCTCCCCGGTCATCTTCCGGGAACCAGAGAAGACCGATGGCTGATCTGTCGCCTGATTGGGGCAGATTTGGTCTGGATTGGGATTGTGGAGTAACCAGCGCCAGAACTTTTGGCAATGATCGAGATGGAACAGCATTTTGATTTGGACCAATTCAATTTAGCAGCTTAATTTATTTGTTCATACTAATTTCCATATCCTAACACAGTGGCAACTATACTCGACAAGTCGACATGCATACAGCTATAATTACAAGATTAGAAGCCCGTACTTTGAGATTACTCATGAGTAAAATCTATCACCGGTCCCTAAACTTATACCGCTGTGTCATCCCGGTCCCTAAACTCGCAAATTGACCGTTTTCAGGTCCTCAAACTTGTTCGACTGTGTCATCCCGGTCCCTAAACTTGCAGATCACTCGTTTACATCCTCCAACTTGTTCAGTTGTGTCACCCCGGTCTCTAAACTTGGATTTGAATATCATCTAGGTTAAATAGGACGGCCTAAAGACTTTATATTTAAAAATAATTCATAACTTTTTCATGTGAACTCTAATGAAGATAAACTTTATATCAAACTTGTAGCCCTCGACGCGATCTACAACTTTGTAGTTGTTTTTTTTATTTTAAGTCATTTTTTGTCCCAAAATGTAATTTTAGAATTAAAATTTCAAAATCTATAAACATGCAACAATATTTTGGGACCCTAGCTAAACAGTTTTAATTCAAAAACTTTTCAACTACAAAGTTGTAGGTCGTGTCGAAGGCTACAATTTTGATATAAAGTTTGTCTTCATTAGAGTTCACATGAAAAAGTTATGAATTATTTTTTGATATAAAGTTTTTAGACCGTCCTGTTTAGGGACCGGGGTGACACAACCGAATAAGTTGGATGACCTAAATGAGTGATCTGCAAGTTTAGGGACTGGGATGACGCAGTCGAACAAGTTTAAGGACCTGAACGATTTGCGAGTTTAGGGACCGGGATGACACAGCGGTACAAGTTTAGGGACCGGTGATGGACTTTACTCATTACTCATGGATCGACAGGTACTTCGAGTATGATAAATGTTTCAAGGAACATCAACTAGATCGAGTAGGTTACATTCTGTGTGATGGCGGCCAGCGGCCACAAGCTACCTAGATTTGCTTTTCACTTTCTTGATTTCATGGCGACCTGTAAAATGTCGCTCCAACGTCTCATCCAATGATAACATGTCCTAGCTAATCTGACCTACGGCCCACTGTGTTAGCGGCTGAGGAACAGACGGAATGTACAGTAAAGTTTTGCTTGTTTTAGGCACATATTATAGCAATCATCGCCAAAACTAGAGATCGATTGCCGGCCGGCCTACTTGCTATAGACTTATAGCATGCAATCATCGCCAATTACTACACCTGATCTCATCGAGCCATCAGCAGTTCATCAGCTAACAACACGAACCAAGCTCGATCGCCTTCTGGTGGATCACACTGTTTTGTTGATGCACGCAGGCATGCAGCCGCCGTCGTGTGGTAGTAGGCTGTAGCAAACCGTATATATCGCGTACACGCGCACGTAGGCCCCCCTGCTGCGGAAGCCCACGCACGCACCGGCGCTTTCCTCCGCGCGCGGGTTCGCGGGCGTCGTTGGTCCGCATGTCATGTCAACGCGCCCCGCGCTGCATGCTCCGGGTAACGGCTGGCTTTCGTTGCGCGGGCACGACACGGTGACGCGCAGGCGCAGCGAGCTCATCCGACGCTGTGGGCTATGGCCATATCACCACCGTGCGCCCAATATTGTGATTTGTGTCCGTTTTGGGCAGTATCAGTGCAAAGCTCCTCAATTCAGTTTTGCTATATATTTATCGATAAATTTTCTCTTAACAATTCAACAAACGTAAATATAGTTTAATCGTAGTATAACTACGTCATAATTTGTATGTAATTACTTTTAGAAAAATCTTGTGATAACATGCTATTTTCACGAAGCAGAGGTCACGGGACCAAATCCTCTCCTTGTGTGTGAGTTGTTATTTTTTTCTTCTCCACTTGCATAAATCTTAAAGAAAATATGATTTCAAAATTATATGGAAGTTACATAACAGTTATATTATAGTTACATGTAAATTAAATACAATTATACTTCTATTGTACTATAATTACATATGACAATTTTTTAGGAGAAAATTTGTCGAACAATGTATAGATAGTCTCCCTCAATTATGTGTCTTTGGTGATAAATAAGTCTAAGTCTCACTTGAGCCATAGCTCCCACAATGCAAAGGTTGAAATAAATACCCTCAAATGGAAATCACGGGAGTCCCATCGCATCATTTAGTCTCAGGCGTAGGTGAAGAACATGGTTCCTCATGAAGACCAGCCTGACCTACCGGAGTCGGCTCACGACGACATGGAGACATGTTCAGCAAATCCACACGCCATAGTCGTACTGTGAAAACCCTAATAGTCCCGTATCAGATATCAAGTTTGAGAGTACTATTACTGGTGTGTTACCATGGTATTTATATCCGTTAGAAACAGTGCCTGAGTTTTTTTAGAGCTTTCACAGTGTGAGTCTGTGGTGCATGTATTCGCTGTAACACGTCTCCATGTCATAGTGGGACAACTTCCTAGCTTGTAGGTCACGTAGATCTTCACGAGGAGTCGTGTTCTCCAATTGGGCTTGAGACTAAATGACCCGGTGGGAGTCCCGTGGTATCCAGTTAAGGGCATTTGGTTTTGCACTATAAGAGTTGTGGCTCAAGTCTATTTTCTCTATCTAAAATAGATCAATCTAAACAGGAACGCGACAAAGGTTATCCATACTCATTGTATTATATTGTATTAGTAGTATCTGTTTAAATTGGATAGTAGTACTCCCTCCATTCCTAATTGATTTTCATATATGGTTTGTGCATCAATACCAAGACAATCCTGCGGAGCACTTAATCAACATCGAAAACATGCATTACCGTTTCGTATCCGTGAATGTAGCACCATCAATTTTGCATGCTGTATGGCTGGCCAATCAGTTGTGAGCATATTAAATCCATGCATGCAGCGGCTCCTAATTAGTTTTGCATGCCGCATAGCCTGACTAATCATATGCATGCAGTGTTCGTTAGGAAGTGTCATTAACGTCCTTCATATGATTTTCATCGCCTCCCCACTGTAATGCGATGATCAAAATGAAATTATCATTTTTTTTTCAATACGATGATCAAAAGGAAACAGAGGGAGTATTATTTTGAAACGGAGGAGATTATTTTGACACGAAATCGAGAAACACGTCATGAAGGGCCTGTTTACTTTGATGCCAAAAAAACTTTACCAAATTTTGGCAATGCCAAAAATTTGGCATAGTTACCAAAATTTTGGCAGGATTTCATATATATTTACCAAAATTTGATAGCAAACTAAA